AATTTTTTTTAAGGATGCCCCCCCCCCCCCCCTCCCCCCAACACCTCTAAATTTTGGGCTGATATAAGATATGAACACCCCAAATGGTCTCAGTCATCCCTAAAAGCACCCACAAATGAATCATGCTCAACCACCTCATCTTGCAAATCTGGCAAACATTGGCAAATCTAACAGTTAGTTCTTTCTCAAAAGCTCCAGTAACTTGTAAACATGGTGTTTCAGGAGGAGTGGTGCACCTCGACGGAGGCGTTTGATCTATAGCCTGTAAAATGAAACGTTGATGAAAAGGGACTGTTCTATCCGACACATACTTCTTGGCCACTGTGTGATATAAAGCATGTTGCATGACCCTTCCAGGCCAGAGATTATTAATGGACATTACGATTTATAGATCCCACACCAGAGAGAAAGTGCTGCGCTCTATGGGCCGCAAAGTAATTACTACATCCATTATTATGTGCAAACACACACAAGAGGAGTTCTTAGTTACTGCAACAACAAGCATTCAGTTGAATGAACAGTTCACTGAATGAAGTTAGATTATGAATTCAAGAGGATATTCTTAAAGTGGGCCTTTAAACCAGAGCAATTATTTGGTAAATATATCCCATATATCAAAACGAACATATTGAGCAGGGCTGCTATTATAATCCATGTGTAACCATCTTAACTGTGGTTTCTGAGTTAGAAAAATGTAATTGCATTCTTTTCAGAAAACACCTTAATTGGTCATAATGTGGTCTATATTAAATCAATAGTGCTTAATTAACTTACTGTTGGCAGAGCTAGTTGTTTATTGGACATAATGTTGGTTGTAATGCTCACAGACGGCTGAGGGGGCTCTGGCCAACCTGAAGAGTAAATACGAGAATGAGAAGACAATGGTGACGGAGACCATGATGAAGCTGAGGAATGAGCTAAAGGCCTTGAAAGAGGATGCGGCCACCTTCTCTTCCCTCAGAGCCATGTTCGCCACACGGTGAGAAATACACACTGTAACACTATACTCAAAATTCATTTGTTTGCAGTTCATTTCAATTAACCATTTAAATGAACCAATTCTCCAAAACAAATCATTATTTATATAGAAGCATGTTTTAGGATAGAGTGTACAATACAAAGTGCAAAAATAGCATTTTGTTGCACTACAAAGCTACTCATTGGAAAACGTAGCTTAATACTGGAAAAACGATACAATTTTCCAGTTGTCATGCTGCTGAAATTCTATTTAAGTTAGTTCTCAAACTTTGCTTTACAACGTTGACTGGTGCAGGATGCTGACAGCATCATATATAAGCTTAGAGACTGCAGTTGAAGCATGAGATTTGGTTTATTTTTGCAGTTGAGAGCAAAATCAATTGGACAGATGACTGAATAATGAGTCAACCAGAGCGTCCACAGCACATCTGAGAGGATGTTTGCCATACTAATTAGGGATGCATGATGGGGAAAAAACTAACTGCGATTTTTCAGATTTTTTTTTATAATTTAGATTTTTTTGGGTTATATATCAATATCTCTGAATAATAATAATAATAATTATTATTATTATTATTACTACTGCATAAAAATATAAAACAAAATAAGAAAAAATGCTATTGTAATATATCCCTGTAAAATAATAATAATAATAATTATTATTATTATTATTAGTAGTAGTAGTAGTAGTAATAGTAGTAGTAGTAGTAAATAAAAAATGAAACAAAATAAGAAATATTCCTGTTGAAATATTTCACTGTAAAATAAAAAACAAGTATTTAAGAAAATATATATTTTACAGTTCAACTGTACATCCAGCTTTTGATGCTTT